AGGGCTTAGGGTTAGGTTTAGGGCTTGGGGTTTAGTTAGGGCTTGTGCAATGTCAGACCCCAGTAGCATGCTGCGCGAAGACGTTCCCTCTACAAGACGGGTACAGCGGAGGTGGAGATTTTCCGCGATTTTCGCTTCGATGACTTCGACGTCCGAGTGCAGCCCTCTACGGCCCTCTGTAGTCTTGTGGAGAGAAGCTTTCCTTTGCGATATCCGCAAAGGTGATAAACGTGGAGGCGCCTTTTGCCAAACAGTTCCTCCGTGGCGATAAGTTGCTGCAGAGGTCGTGTGTTGAGAGGTTCAAGCCAAAAACTATTACGATGTGGACAACGTCATCCTGTGCCTCGCTTCAAGCATGTGAGTTGCTTCCGTGGGTGTGCAAACGCAAGGGCTGCAGTTGGCAGTGTGCGGACCCTTGAATCATGAACACCACGGAAGTGTGAAACTGCTGTGTCTTGGGTTGACTTTGCCCTGCAAGGAATTCCGGGTACGCCAAAGTCGCCGTATTAGGAGGTGACCACGTGTATGCGCGGGCCCTCGGCCCTCAGGGCCTCAGGGGTTTCGAAGCTTTGCAGTGCACCGTCCAGCCGTTCAACATGACTTTCTGCCCAGGCGAAACTGGGCTCCCCTTTCACCTTCCCGTCCAGAATGGCGGCATGGCGTGGCTCGTCCCTACTATATGCCTCTGATCGGGCGGCGATAGGGGAGATAGCGGGTCGCACCAAGAAGCAAGCTCTTGGTTGACCGAGGGCAGGCTCTTGCAAAGGACTTCTGGGCGGCTTGGAAGCACTACTCCGGTAGGCCTTTTTAGTCGTACGTTTTCGGTGGAAGCTCGAACAAGGCCCGCAGAGTCACAATTCTAGTCTGCCCCTGGCTGAGTTCAAGGCCCACGAGGCTCCAAAGACAGCTGCGGCTTTGCACAGTCGCGCTGGTGGGCCCTCGCCCATGACAGCGGCTTGGAGCCTCAGAGACTCACGACAGCATGTGATCAACAGTCCCGGTGTCAAGTTGCACACTGTGAGACTGCACCTGGATCGGGTTTGCATCACCGATTGCAGAGGCTCAGCTGCACGAACCGACAGCCCTTGCTGAGTAGCATGTAAAAATGGTATTGCTTCCCATTGAGAAGAGCATGCATCCCTACCCCTGCGCAGCCTCGGGATCCCACTCACCGCCCATGCCGACTCCTGCGCCCTCGGCGGACCAGGCACCGCAGATCCATTGGATGGAATTCCAGACATGGTTTCTTGCCATCCTCGACTTAAAGTTCAGCCAGCAGGAAGCCGTGCTGCGAGGTATCCTGGAGTCACGGCCACCCATTCCTCCCGCGCCTGCATTGCCGTTACCGCGCCGAGTGTCCATGACGGAAAAGCATGCAAGATCTCCAAGATCTCCGACATCCCCTCGGCAACTGCAAGTCTTTGAGGTCAAACTTGACCAGGAGATCTCGCCTGCAGAGGATGATGTGGAAAGAAGCAGTCAGGTGGCCGAGTCAACGTCACCAAAGGCCACCCCTCTGCAAACCGTCATGTGCAGTGTGCCCATTTGTTCCCTCAGCCCTAAGCCGTAAGTGTTGCTGTCATTTTCCGGAATGTCACAGCCTCTGGGATAGGCGAAGAGGCGGATGACGACCCTCGGGGTGAACCTGATGTCAGAGAAGATGGGACCAGAACCACCGGTAAAGCACTTCGTGAAGACAAAGCTTGACATCTACATGGGAGGAGTCGTCCTCATCAAGCCTAAACCCTCATGTGTGCGAGCGTGATTGTCGCAACCCTCAAGACTAAGAGCCTAAACCTGCAAATCCTGAAGCCTATCCGAGTCTGAGAGCCTAAGCCCCCGAACTTTCGGAGGAGTCGTCCTCATAAACATGATCTTCATGGTCGTCATGACACAGTGGACAGGTTCCAGAGCCGAAGCAAGTCTCGGATTCATTCCCGATCCATGGCCCTTTTTTTCAGATGCCTTCTTCGACGTGTCTGAGTATTGCTTCTTCAGCCTCTACCTTGCTGATGTTGTCTTTCGACTCTTGGTCCTACGCAGAGAATGGTATTTCGACCCGTCGGAAGGGTATATGTACCTGAACATGTTTGATGCATGCCTGGTCTGCGTAAGCACCTTCGAGCTGATTATTCTACCGGCCATTTTCTCCGCTGGTGGGAACCCAGACATCGAAACCAACACGATCAGAGTGTTGAAGCTGATTCGGATTGTGCGAACACTGCGAATTTTCAAAACCGTATCTGTTTTTCGTCAGTTGCGCCTGCTAGTCTCGACATGTATTGCCAGCATCGGGGCGCTGTTCTGGTCCATGATTCTTCTGCTTCTTTTGAACATAGCTTTCGCACTAATGATGGCGCAAGCGCTGCAAACTTTCATCCTGGACGAGGACGCTGATATAGACACACGTGTCCTGATGAACCAGTACTACGGAAGTTTCACTCTAGCCTTCTACACCATTTTCGAGGTGACGCACAGCGGGTCTTGGCCGTCGCGTGTCCGTCCTGTTCTGGATTTAGTGGATCCTTGGTACGCTGCTCTATTCCTGCCATATATAGCTATGGTGGTTTTCGCAGTTATTAGAGTCGTTACGGCTCTATTCATCAAAGAAACGCTGGCGAGCGCGGCAAACGATGCAGAGCTGGTTATCGAAGAAACAAGACGGAATGCGGTAGAGTATCAGGAGAAGCTAGAGGAGCTTTTCCAAATAGTGGATGACGACGGTGATGGACACTTGACGCCACAGGAGTTCGTGGAAGCCATGAGCTTGCCGAGCGTGCAGCAGTACATGAAGTTCCTGGATGTCAGCGTTCGCGACGTGCGCCCGCTTTTCGACATTCTGTCCGAGGGTGACGGCCTTATCACCATCGCTGAGTTCTGCAAAGGTCTTATGCAGCTCAAAGGGCAAGCACGGGCTTTGGACATAGTGATTCTGCAGCATGAGAATTCCAAGCTCATGCGGCAGTGCCACGAGATTTATCGTGCAATCTGTGATGCCGCGGCGCAGTGCAGTCCGACAGGAGGTACGTGCAGTCCGACAGAAGTCATTTAGTAGGCATGGTGGCGTACAAAAAGTAGGCTAGATATCAAGCCGTTGAAAAGGTCAGCATCTCCAAGAGATCATGACCCCGTTCCCACAGTGGATGTTGCAATGATCGCAGTTTTCTCCTGGAGCGCTTTCGTCGAAAAATGAAATGGGCCTGTTGACTCAGTAAGGCTAGGGCTCATGGTGACCTGCGTATGTATTCACACTGTTGCCAGTCTGGTGACCGGTTCCTTTGTGAGTCCTGTAAGAGAACGCTTGATGCAAAAGCTGGCATGAGACCAAGAGCTCACTTCCACTTGCGGCTTCAGCACAGCGTAGTAGTTGGTGGTAGGACAGCCTGGGACGACTCCAGACGAGCGGTCGCCCAATGCCGAGTCCGGAATGCGATCCACCGGGTCCCGGTGACAGCTCCAACCTGGAAAAATGGCTTGTGTCCTTATTGGATCACAAGTTCGCACAGCAAGAGACTGTGATTCGTGGGTTGCTTGAGCGAAGGCCTCAAGGACAGAGCTATCCGGATAGAACACTATCGTCTTTCTCTGCTGAGAGGAATGCCAACATGGGCACGGCTTCTCCCGGCAGTCGCATGGATGATTCACAGAGCGAGACGGCCGGAGAGCCCATGTATCCCTTGAGAAGTGATGCTACCAGCGATGATGTTGCTAGAACATCTTCTAAAAACGTCGCTAGAAAGAACACAGCGACGCTCGGAGCGGCTGTGATGTCAGAAAGATGGGATCCAGATCCTCCCTGGAAGTCCTTCATCAAGAAACGCCTTGATGGATACATGGGGGTTGTCGTCATTGTGAACATGATCTTCATGGTCCTCATGACTCAATGGACAGGTTCAAAGGCTGAGGTTTCTCGGAGCAGCCAATAAGCAGAGAAGAGTAAAAGCTTGTGTGGATAGGGCCCAGACATGCAGAACACTATGGAGTATTGGGGGAGGGTAGGGGGAGGTTTCCCGTTCCAATTGCAAGCCGCTTGCCGCTTCTAAGGTTTACCTCAACTTGACGCAAGACCACTGGCCGTTCTTCTCGCAGGAGTTCTTCGATATTTCAGAGTATTTTTTTTACGTCTTCTATGTCGCCGATGTTTTGGTTCGAGTCGTTGTTCTTCGGAGGGAGTGGTACTACGATCCACAGGAAGGCATCATGTATTTAAACATCTTTGATTTCGGCCTCGTGGCTCTCAGCACCATTGAGCTGATCGTGCTGCCAGCGGTCCTCACTGCTGGGGGCACGAACGAGTTCCAGGCGAGTGCTATTCGTGTCTTGAAGCTGATGCGGATATACAGGACTCTGCGTGTCGTGAAAACCATGCATGTGTTTCGGCAGTTGAAACTCCTGGTTAGAACGTGCGTTGCCAGCATCGGGGCCTTATTCTGGTCATTGGTGCTCCTGCTTTTACTGAACATAGCATTCGCACTGATGATCTCGCAAGCGCTGCAGACATTCATCTTAGACGATGCTGCAGATCTGGATGCACGTCTTCAAATGCACGAGTTCTATGGCAGTTTCACGAAATCCTTTTACACCATTTTCGAGGTGACGCACAGCGGGTCTTGGCCATCGCGTGTCCGACCTGTCCTAGATTCGGTGGATGCCTGGTATGCTGCTTTGTTTCTGCCATATATAGCATTGGTAGTTTTCGCAGTTATCAGAGTCGTTACGGCTCTATTCATCAAAGAAACGCTGGCGAGCGCGGCAAACGATGCAGAGCTGGTCATCGAAGAAACACGACGGTTCGCGTTGGAATATCAGAAAAAGTTGGAAGAACTTTTCAAGTTTGTGGATGAAGATGGAAACGGTCAACTGTCTCCAGAAGAGTTTGTGGAAGCCATGAGCTTACCGAGCGTCCAGCAGTACATGAAGTTCCTGGATGTCAGCGTTCGCGACGTGCGCCCGCTTTTCGACATTCTGTCCGAGGGTGACGGCCTGATCACCATAACTGAGTTCTGCAAAGGTCTCATGCAGCTCAAAGGACAGGCACGAGCTCTGGACATCATCATCCTGCAGCACGAGAACTCAAAGCTCATGAAGAGGTGTGAAGACATCCACCGCAGTGTTCGCAAAGTGTTCCAGGTCATGTCTTCGTCCGGTTGGGCAGGACGTCTCCAAGAGATGTAAATGCCAGTGTGTCGTATGCAAATAACTGCATGCAGAACACGAGATGTCATCCGAGCAGGGCCTTTTTCAGCAAGAGGCCATCGACCTCGGGATCATCGCCCGAAAGATTCTTCACAGTTTCCGAACAGAGGGTAGGGGGTCGGGCATTTTTCAGATTAGACCTATCAGTTTCAGTACGCTCGCATTCGCATCAGGATTAGCAATGGTATCTTTAACAGTCTTACGAGTAGGAGTACTAGTTAGTGTTAGGACTGTGTTCTCGAGTTGCCCTGGCCAGTGGGTCGCCCCGTCCAAGTTTGGGAACAACGGCACTGTCGACCTTGTCTCTCGCCTCGGGAAAAAGCATGCGGCCCTTTTCTGTCCGTGACAGACCTTGTTGAATGGGTGGTGTGCATCCTCCGACACCAAACTGTGTACTCCCCATTAGTAGGCAACTGCTTCGCAACCTGCTCCGAGCTAGCGATAGGCAGCTACTTGGACCAAGGAAGTCACAGACTGTCGTATGGGTTCTCCCCCCCTAGCTTCTGGTGGCAAGGCTTCGCACAGCGGCTGATACGTGAGCCGTCGTGGTTGCGCTGGAAAAAGTGTGTAAGAAGCCCAGCGGGCTGGCATGCATGAGAGTGCAGGCAGGCCCTGACCTCTTTGCATCGTCGCCAGACTCAATGGATGTTTCCAGCAGTTGCACTCTCCAGTGCAGTCGAGTTGGGCTTTGCTGCTTCCATGACATTCTCATCCGCAGCCACACAGTTTTGTTCTGACACAGGTCAGGAAGGGGGGGTAGCTCCCAGAATGCCGGCGCCCTCAGGCGATGGCACGCTGCTGCACGTCCACAGCCTCGAGATGGTTCGGCTCTTGGACGAGAGGCTTCAGTCAACTTTGGCGGCTCACTTCGCAGAGCAGGAAGACCTGATCCGGTGCCCGGCTGCTGTTCAGCTCATTGTTGGTTTTCTTGAACTCTTGAAGCTGCGGCTTGGCATTCTCATGGCTTTCATGCCTGGTGTATCGTTCAGGCGGCTTCTCAGCGGCCGCGCCCAGCCGCAGTATGACTGGGAAGAAGTGTCGAGGTCCATCGCGGCCCGCGAAGCAAACAGGAAGGCTCAGATCCCGCAGGAATTGCAGCTGTCCCCGCGGCCGGAGCAGCTCCTTGCCCAAACGTCGTCAATTAGGTATATGAGGTAGTCCTCGAATCAAGCCTGTGTAAAAAAGGCGGTCCTCAGTTTTTGGAGGGTATTGAAAGGTTGTACTATCGTGGGAAGGGTGCTCAGCCCGTAAAATGGTGCTCTGATCTCCGTCTCTGTAGACGGGGGACGCAGAAGATGGCTACTAGTAGGAAGCTGGTGAAAGATGCCTAGAACAATCTGGCAGGAGGAGAACTGAGGGGCCGAGGAATATGTACAATAAAATATTATATACATACATGTCTGTGTATATATATATATACACTATAGTGTATATGTTAAAACCATAGAATACACTATACCATGGTATGATAGAGTCCTGAGTTTGGGCCTTGGCTTTGTGGCCCGGGTCTCCGTGGGTTTTCTGCAAGATCAGGTTTAGGCTCGTCTGCGCTCTTGGGCCCACGTGCTGTTGAAGCCTTGGCAGATGTGCTTTGATGGGGACCAGGTGGTCTCGAGTTGATTGTGCTTGCACAGGAGAGGCGATCTAATTTGCAGTGAGAGGGTGCCTCGTCTGACTTCCCTCCGCTCCACGGTTTCTCTTTAGATCTCGAGACTCTACTGTAGCCCGTGCTTACGGAAGCTCTTGGTCAGGCTGAAGACCCACCGTTCGGCTGTGGATAGGGAGGAGATGTCCGAGTCCATCTCCAACTGCGAGGCTACGAAGCCGCCGAGTTTGCCGGAGCCACCAGAATTGCCCCAACGACCGGAACAGCAGCGGACTGAGATTCGTCCCAGAAACCAGAGTCTGCTGTAAGAGTGGTTAACGTGCTTGGATCAGAACTTCTGCGGCATTCCTCCTTCTCCTATAAAAGTTCATGAGGATTCAAAGCGTAGGCAGGGATGGATGCTAAAAAATGATGGACCGCTAGGACGTATCATATCTTACGTATCTGCGTACCGAATCCTAAATATCCTTACACGTATTATATGCTTGTTTGACGTATATAGTATACGTATCCGGCGTGTACGGAACATCTACGTAGCCTGTATCCGAAGAGAGCTACAGGTAGTCTATACGTAGGGTCGGACTCGAGGGTTCCGGACTCGCCTGGAGATGGGCTCGGTTCGCCTGGATGCGCGGGCCCGGGTTTCGGGTTTGCCTGGATGGGCGAGCCCGGGGGTTTCAGGATTCGTGCTTTCATGTAGTTTCGGATAAGTTTCGATCTTCGGAGACGCTTCGGCTGGTAGGAGGTAGCGCTGCCAGGGTAGGCACAGGTATGTATTAATTAATATAGAGTACGCACTACATATTAGATAGTATATGCTCCTATATAGTTTATGCTGTAAAATATGTGTATATATATATAATATAACATACTGTATTGAGCTTATGTATGTCAGGTTACATGTACACATGTATATGGTATTTGATTTGTGTAATATAAGCTTCCGTATAGTCTAAACATATACTAGTCAGTACAAAATGCACCACGAAAACTGCTTGAGGCAGCAGGTCAGAAGACGCGACACAGCCGTGACCATGAAGTGGATCCGGAGAGCTCCGTTGTCTGCTTTGTGGATGGGCGAGACGTGGCGGGGTCGTTCGTTCAACCAACGTTTAAGATCCTTCATGAAAGGACCCTTTGATGTCATCATAGGTGCCATCGTCATTTTAAACATCTCATTTATGGTCTTACTCACCGAGTGGAGCGGCTTCTTGATTGACCAGAACTTGGGACTGTCAGAGCCAGCCCCTAGCTGGTTTTCACCAGAATTCTTCTCAGTTACAGAGTACGTCTTCTTCGTTGTCTTTCTTTTGGATGTTGTGGCGAAGGTCTGCATCCTGAAGCACGAGTGGTACTACTCTCGTCGCGAAGGTATTATGTACCTCAACATCTTCGATGCCATGTTGGTGGGTGTGAATTTCGCAGAGCTCATTCTGCTCCCTTCAATTTTGCAAGATGGGGCTGGAGAGCTGCGAATCAATCATGTCCGTGTCATCAAATTATTGCGGATGGGGCGGACCCTCCGAATAGTTAAGACATTGTCAATCTTTCTACCGCTGCGTGTGCTGGTTGGAACATGCGTCGCAAGCTTGGGGGCTTTCTTCTGGTCCCTTATTCTTCTTCTCGTCTTGAAGGTTACCTTTGCCTTGATCGTCAGCCAGGCATTACAGTCTTGGATTCTCGACGAAACCCAAGATATGTCAGCGCGCCTACAGATCCATGCAATGTACGGCAGTTTTTTGAAAGCAACATACACCATGTTCGAGATAACCTACAGTGGCGGATGGCCCACACTTGTGCGCCCAGTTCTCGATCTCGTCGACCCAATGTATGCAGCAGCATTCCTCCCGTATGTAACCCTGGTGGTGTTCGCTGTCCTGCGCATCGTAACAGCACTCTTTCTGAAGGAGACGCTTGAAAGCGCAGCGCAAGATGCCGAGATAGTAATCGAGGAGACGCGACGAACTGCCATAAAATATCAAGAAAAGTTGGTCGAGTTGTTCAACTACTTCGATGAGGATGCGGACGGGCACCTGTCTCCAGAGGAGTTCATCGAGGCCATGAGTTTGCCCAGTGTGCAGCAGTACTTGAGGTTTCTGGACGTCGGTGTTCGGGATGTGCGGCCTCTGTTTGACATCTTGTCCGACGGCGATGGCCTCATCACAATCTCTGAATTCTGCAAAGGCTTGATGCAGCTTAAAGGACAGGCACGAGCTCTGGATATGGTTCTCTTGCAACATGATAGCGCCAAACTGCTCAGCCGATGCGAAGAGATCCTGAGTGTAGTTTCGAAAGATCACCAGACTGCGGGAGAGAGAGTCTCCAAAGATCAGAAGGCAGCTGTCACACCTGACGGACCACTGGTGCTCGGCACAGTCTGACCCTACTCCGTTTAATGCATGCCAAAAAGATTGTGTCTGACTTAGTGCTGCTATTTCCTTCGCTGGTGCCTCAATCCTACGTCTGAAATGTGCCGTAGGGATTCTGGAAGGGAACGCCTTCTTCCTGAATCGTCTCCTTTGCGGTGCTTGCGGTGGTATGCAGAAGGTGTAGTTGCTGGGGTAATCCGATTGCGCAGACTCCGGCATTGTGCGGGACATACATGACAGCACATGCTGCAGCCAATATGTAGTCAAGCTTCGTAGCCCTCCAAAACGGAGGCCAACTTCACACAAAGTAGTGACAGTGACAGCCAGTAGGTCGGTTTAGATGCCCGTGCCCAGCTGGCATGGAGACGGCAAAATCCTTGCACCTGAAACTCGCTTGGAAACTTGGCTGCTGGCCGCGCTGGACTGCAAGTTTGCACAACAGGAAGCACTTCTGCGCGACTTACTCAAGTCGCCTGATCTGCTCCCATTGGGAAGCTCCCTTGGATTGGCGAGCTCCGTAGGGACTGTGGGCGACAGCCGCGCACCAGGCAGTCGGGGCGTAAACAAAACCGACAAAGATGACAACGAATTGCACGTGGAGTTTGAGAGTTCCGATGTGTCGCCCAAACCCGAAACACCAACTTCAGATCACCTCTCGCATGCCAAAAGCCGATTTTTCGGGAGAGCCGCCAACACACTTGGTGCCCACGTCATGAAAGAGAAGTGGGCGAAGGACGTTGTTGCGAAAACTGTAAGCCGGCTTAGCTTCTCTAAAGACCAGGTTTTAAGCTTTATCACTTCTTGGCTTCGTATCTCCTTAGAATCAGAAGCTCCTGGCAGGACCCTCCCCTCAAGTCCTTTGTCAAGAACCAGATGGACGTTCTGATTGGTGTGGTGGTCATCGTTAATGTATCTTTCATGGTCTTCCATGCTCAGTGGATGGGGGCACAGGCAGATCTCACTGTGGGAGTTAGTGACCAGCCTTGGATGGGTCCATCGCAGGAACTGTTTGATATTTCAGAGTATGTATTCTTCAGCTTGTACGTCTTGGACGTTGGGATGCGAATGGTAGTGCTTCGGGGTGAATGGTGGTACGACCCACTGCGTGGGCGAATGTATTTAAATGCCTTTGATGCTATTCTTGTGTCTGTGAACTTCCTCGAGCTGGTAGTTGTTCCTGGAATTTTGGGCGATGAAAGCCAGATGAGCTCTAGCCAGATCCGACTGATAAAGCTGTCGCGTGTGGCAAGAACGCTTCGTGTAATCAAATCACTGTCTTTGTTCAGGCAGTTGAGGCATCTTGTTGGGACCTGCATTGCCAGCATTGGTGCCCTGTTCTGGTCTATTGTTTTGATTTTGCTTTGCCAGCTGACCTTCGCTTTGATGGTCTGTCAAGCGATGCAGCCTTTTATTCTGAATGAAGAGGCTGACCTAGACATCCGCCTTCAGATGAACAGCTGGTATGGCAGCTTTTTCAAAGCAATGTACACCATGTTTGAGATAACGCTGAGCGGCGGATGGCCTCTTCTAGTGAGACCTGTAGTGGAGCTGGTGGATGCTTGGTATTCGGCCCTCTTCCTGCCCTATATAGCAGTCGTGGTTTTTGCTGTCTTGAGGATAGTCACCGCCCTCTTCATTAAGGAGACGCTGCAAACTGCAGCTAATGATGCAGAGATGGTGATGGAGGAGTCTAGGTCAGGTTCTCTGCAATATCAACGTCGCCTCGAGCAGCTTTTTCGCTTGGTTGATGACGATGGAGATGGTCACCTGACACTCGATGAATTTCGTGCTGCTGTGAACATGCCCAGTGTGTCCCAGTATCTGTCATACCTGGATGTGACTGTGCGGGATTGCGAGCCTTTGTTCGAGATCCTTGCAGAAGGGGATGGCCTTATCACGATTGCCGAGTTCTGCACGGGCATAATGCAGTGGAAAGGCCAAGCAAGAGCACTGGACATCGTGATGCTGCAGCATGTGCTTCGACGGAGAACTTCAGCCAAGAGTTTCTTGGAGTTGGGCCGAAATCCTTCTTTAGACCCTTAATTAGTTAACTGTTGGCGGTGCATAAGACTCTTCATCCCACTGATCAGGAGAATGCCAAGCTTCTGAGTGAGTGCCAGCAGATTCGCCGCAGTGTCTCCGCAATGTCGAAGGCCTTTCGCCGCAGAGCCTAGGTGCTGCGCAGGATGTGGAAGATATCGAATCCATGCACATCCGTACGGTCTTTGAGAGTGGAGATTGGAGGGTTTTGATCTAAATGCTACACTTTCTAAGCCCTGAACCCGTCCAGCTGCTGTCGCGTTCCTGAGGTTCTGTGTCACAAATGCCCTGTGCCAAGAAAGATTTTTCAACTGACTGTCAGAATTTTCTAAGTTGCCAGTGGGGCTAAACCCACTTGACCGTAAGTGAGTCTTCAATCGCACATGGCTTAAGGCGGTATTCATTTGAGACAGCCTTGTGGACATCTTCTACTGCCCGCGAAGGCTCCTTCCGTGTGTTTCGAATGTTTCAGTTCACCACTTCAAAAGAACACCTTTCTCAGCCGAGAGGCCAAGCCGAGCGATGTTCCAAGATCTATGTAGCTGCTCATGACAAGGCCTCTCCTAAAAGGGATCTTGATAATGTGAGGTTCATCTTGTGAAGGCTCTAACGGAACAGGGGCGGTTTTATCAGGCAACCGGTTGGTCTACCCTGGCGCTGGAGTGCGCAGACGAGACAAATTACGACACACAAAGAGATGCCAGTTCTGGCAGCGAGTACCAGTTTGTGAAGACATGACGTAAGATTCAACCGACGGAGCACATAAAATTGCCTCCCCCCTACTTCGAAAAGGTTCTGAAGTACCCCTGCTTTCTTCACTCGCCATATCGCCGCAGCAAACCGAGCCGTTTCCTGTTCCAGCCTGCATCTGTCGACAAGGCGGAGATGTCGAATGGACCGATGCCAACATCAAGTCTAGCAGGCAGCTAAGAACTTGCGGAGCACTCCGAACCCCTTCGAGGGTAGACATCCCAGACCTCCTTGATCCATTCCTCCTCAGCTATAGAGCTCATCGGGCCGCTCCATTACATCCCGCTATAAACGCGATCCAATCTTGCCTAATGTTTCTTTATGATCCTAGGCCCAGGTAGCATTAGGGAGACCCCTTCAAGGGGACCCTTCTTGAACCTACTTATGGCTCTCTCAAAAGGGACCTTATTGAGAGGGTCTATCTCCCCCAAAGGGTCCCCCTAATCCTAACTCCTGTATGAATGGCTATCAGTCACCAGTCGGTCGGGCAAGCTGTGGTTGCCTAGATTCAACCGTCATATCCTGCGCAGCGAGGCTTTTTAGAAGCTCGATTGCGGTTCTGTTGCGACGAATACTTAAGCTTCGAGCCACGGGTCACTTGCAGTGTCTCTGTGGTGCTGTCTCACCCCGATGCATCAGACTGACTGCAACGACGCGATTCGCAGCAGACCTGTCGGATGCAAAACCGAGTAACTTGTGCTAATTTTGCTCGTAGCACAGATAAAGCCGTGGACATGATGAAGAAGAGCGATGACTGGTAGGCGACACGGTGAGCATTCATCGACCTCTTGGCTCAGAATCACGGTGCTGCCGCCTCAAGGTGATCACTGCAGGGCCGAGCGGCCAATAACGACGAGCCCACCAGCATGTACATGTAGCGCGTGCAGCTTGTATTCTTGTTATTGCTTTCCCAGGCAAACAGCGAAGTGGTTTTGACAAGCTAGATGCCTGTGCCTGCCGCAGATGGGTCGGACAAAGCTTTGAACCCTTTCGGGACGTCTGGTGTGCCTGATTCGGATCATGCGTGGCAGCTTGAGTTGACCACAGTCGTGTTGTCAACCTTAGACCGCAAGTTCTCTGAGCAAGAAGCCCTCCTACGTGAACTATTGGCTCCAAGCAGTGTTGAACTCTCTGCAGAGAGTTCTGTGGCTTTGGTGGGGAAGGTCCAAGCGGTGAACTCAGCGGAGGCAATGCTTGACCACGAAAGTGCAGCTTGCGTCTCTTCTGAGCCTTCCTGAGCGGCCCGAAGCCGCTATAGAACCCTTACAGTAGCTGTGGCAGCAGCCCTCATGGTAATTGTTATGACAACCCTTATAGCAGGTATCCGAACCATCGGGTGATCCGGACGCAGCTGAGAGAAAGACTCGCCGCCTCCACACTGGCAGAACAGTCAGAGCGCTTGGGGCACAGGCAGGGATGAGCCACGAAGCTTAGAACGCCTGCAGCATCCGCTCGTCTGCACCGAGCATGGCTAATTGCACAAGGATCGCCAAACCTTGAGATAAAGCTGCGAGTTGTAATGTTGCAAAGCGTCGTCCCTTAGTCCAGACCCGGCTCAGCTTGACGTGCGACCAAGGAAGCGCAGCTGTCTCTGAAATGTTAACCAAGAGTAGAAACGTCATTCGAGCGCTGCTGGGAGCCCTTCGTCTTGTCGGGTTTGTTCGGTCGCATCATAGTTTGATCCTTTACCCGTCAGCGGTTCAGTAAACTTGCATCATCCGCCCTGACCCAGCAGTGTAGCATTAGGGTTTGGGCACTGTCGAGGCTGACTTCCCACGCACGGATGAGAAGACTGTTAGATTTAGGGGACATGGTATTAAACACATTTTGGAAACATGTGTCTTTTCCAAAATGTTTAGTGAGTGGTAGCTGGGATTCTGCGTCTTGCGCCGGCACAGGTGATGAGCGAGACGTGGGAGCCAGACCCGCCTCTAAAGGCATTTGTGAAAGGTCCACTGGATATGTACGCCGGATTCGTGGTCATCATCAATGTAGCTTTCATGATATGGCATACGCAATGGACTGGATCTGTGGCCGACGTCAGTGTGGGTATACACGATGAGCAACAGACTTGGTTCTCACAAGAGTTTTTCGACATCGCAGAGTTTATTTTCTTTTCTTTGTATGTATTGGATGTAAGTGTGCGACTGCTGGTGCTGCGTGGGGAATGGTGGTTTGATCGCTACCGTGGCAGGATGTATCTCAACGTATTCGACGCAATCCTGGTTCTTGTCAACTTCTGTGAGCTGATAGCCATTCCAGCAATAACGAGCACACGGGATGGAGACCTCCACGCCAGCCACATACGAATGATGAAGCTCCTGCGACTAGCGAGGTCTCTCCGGGTGTTCAAGACGGTGTCAATGTTTCGTCATCTTAGGAACCTTATTGGTACCTGTGTTGCGAGCTTCTTCGCCTTGATATGGTCTGTCGTGCTCCTGCTCCTCTGCCAGCTGACCTTTGCCCTGATCATTTGCCAGGCCTCCCTAAATCCTAAACCCTAAACAACGTGCATTCGACGTACTCGGAACCTGGCGGGCCAGTTATGAGTGCTGAAACCCCTAACCCCTAAACCCTAAAGCTCGGACACTTATGCCTGCAGTTGCGAGTGTGTGAGTCGACACCCCTAAAGGTCCTTTGCCCTGAAAATTTGGCCAGGCCTTACAAGGTGTAATTTTAGACGACGAGATCGACTTGGAGGTCAGACTGCAGATGAACAACTTGTACGGCAGCTTCCTGAAAGCGATGTACACCGTCTTCGAAATCACACTGAGCGGGGGGTGGCCACTGCTACTTGGTTTTGGTGTACTGTAGTAAAATAGCGAGGACAGCATCTTGTCCTCCTTTATGCATTCCATTATTGTAACTTAGAATTAAGTTCCAGAACGAAAACCAGGCTTGTTCGCCCGGTCGTGGAAACCGTGAGCCCCTGGTATGCCGCGCTGTTCTTGCCCTATATAACGCTGGTGGTTTTTGCAATCTTGAGAATTGTGACCGCCCTCTTCATCAAGGAAACCTTGCAGAGCGCGGAGAACGATGCCGAAATGATGATGGAGGATTCACGGACCAGCTCCCAAAGGTATCAGAGGCGTCTCGAAGAGCTTTTTTACGTTGTGGATGATGATGGAGATGGGCACCTTACCCTCGAAGAGTTTCGTGCAGCTTGCAGTTTGCCAAGTGTAGAGCAGTACATGAGCTACCTGGACGTCACGTTGCGGGACTGTGAGCCGCTGTTTGAAATTCTGGCCGAGGGAGATGGCTTGATCACCATCACAGAGTTCTGCAAAGGTGTTATGCAATTAAAAGGCCTGGCCAAAGCCATTGACATTGTCATGCTCAAGCATGAGAACGGCAAGATCTTGAGAGAGATTCAGAATGTCCGTCTTGTCATGGCCGCAGCACTGCCTCGCTCCGCAAAGGTGCAGATGGTTCGGTAGCTAGTCCTACGGCAACCCGATGAGGCAGGCTCTGCACTTTTCCGCTTGAGGTGCCAATTTTCACCGAAAGCCGTCAATGGAAAGTTTCACCTGCCAGTTTCTCTGCGGGAGTAGGTTCTGCAGATGCTACGTCTCACACCATGTGCGAATGTGGCGATTGTCATGTCCGGAGTTGCCGCTTTAAACTAAGAAGTCCAGTTCAGTTTGTCGAAGTGTTTTTGGGTCAGGCCCGAAATGTGAACGGGTTTAGGAACCTTAGACGCAGCCGCTTGCTCTCACCCCGCAGCATTCGCCCGTTTTCGAAAGCTAGCTTTCAATTCGACGAGCAGTTCAGAGAAGCGTAGTTTACTGTATGATGCTGTACTATATTGAGCATTTCGTCAAGCAGTTGGTTTTCATGGGGTCTGCCGGAGTCTAGTTCAGATGGCCCCGAAGAAGGGCAAGAAGGACCATGCTGCATGCTGCATGACACCATGCTTCTGGTCCCTCAGTCCTCTTCCAACGCCGCTCTCTCTCTCTCTCTCTTCATATATCTATGTCTATAGGTATATATATATATATCTCTATGTGTGTGTATATGTTATATATATCTGTAGCCTATGCACTCTGGAAAAAAGCCTTCCGAGCCGAGACAGGCCAAGCCAGACCTAGAGACAGAAGAAGGGGCGGGCCCGGCCGCGCCAAGGAAAACAAACTCTCTACCTTGTTTAAATATCCTGACCGTGACGAAACACGAGGCATCTCAGCTGTCTATCTCATTGCAGGAGGAGGACGAGGTTGCAGAAGCAGCTGTTGCACCAACCGAGCCTGTGGAGGAGGCTTGGAGTTGGTAGACGGGTGGGAGAGGCAGTTGCGAAGTCTTTTGTGAGGCATTTGTGAATCTTGGCGCTTCTGTGAGAATCCTGTCCGACTGTGGGCACAGGTTCCGAAACCTCGGAAAGTCTGGTCCTATGGCATCAACAACCACGTGCTATGGCCGCCAGCATGTGCTGTCGACATGGATGTCGTGCGGCAGTATGAAGAACTTCGTCCGCCTAGGTGGACCACTTGGCTGCAGAGACGTTGCAGGCAGAGTCCTGCTCTGCTCACATCGTGTAGGCTCAGCTAATTAGCTTACAAGGCAGTGCAAGGATCCGGTCATGTCACCTTGAGCATGAGACTCATGTCGGAAGGCCTTCAAGGGCATTGGCGACTTCCGGCAGGCGAACGGCTCAATTCCTGTCCTCTACGCGACTGCCTTTTCCTTTTCGGCTCTTCAGGACTTTGCCGGCTTGTGCGATGCGCTGGACATCGTGGGGCATCATGCCCTGATGCCTGAGAAAGACTTGGAAGCTCCTCGCGAGGAACCCTGGCAGGAGTTGAGTAGTTGTGCCAGCTAGGAAGGAGTTGGCACGCAACGATCTCTTGTGGTCCGCCCACTGTGCTCTGGAGCAGCATGAGCATGGGCTGGGTTTGGCATCGAATCGAGGAAAGCAATGTCGAGATAGCAGAGGCACAGGAACCCCAAGGTGCAGAGGATTTGTTGACGCAGGAACCCTAAGATACACGATTTATATGATCCTTTTTGTGCTCTCTCGTGGCTAGTTGTTCAAATCCATCAACGCCTGAGCCTCTTTGTGAGCCCAGCTAAGGCAGGCCCATCAGCGGTTCTGACACTGCAAAGCCAGTTGCTGGATCGTGCATCTATGTTGGTTATGAAGGTGCGCAGCACGAATCTCTCGGGGTCTACAGAGATGCAAAAACGAGGATCCCCTCAAGATGGTCTTGTGAAGTCCTTTTGAAGGAGCCTTTGCCCTGAAAGATAGGATTCCCGTTCGTTGCATAGGTGAAAGTTTTTTGTTGGAATTGTTGGCATCATGCTGAATTGAGCTGAGCAGCCACAGTAAGAGTTACGACGATGTTGTTCAGAGAGAGTTGGCTTGGAAGGCAATTCTACCAACCTCTCTGCGTCTTGGCTGCGAGAACCATCTTCAAGAAGAGCCGGTAGGTACTGAGAAGCGAGATGTCTTGCTTTACAGGCACCATATATACATGTATATACATACACACTACACGTACTATAATATCATACAATATAACACAGCTATATCAAAATGTCATGGGAAGATTACAATATAGTATAACATAGCATTGTATGATGTGATATACCATGGCATTATATATGGCTATATAGATATATAGACAGATACAAGGTGTGTATGTACATATTATATGTACGTAGTATACGCACGTCGTTTCTGTTCGTCCCACCAAAGACCCTAGCCTGGAGGAGCCTTCGGCAGACTCTAAGGCACTTGGACACAGTGCGCCTGAGTGGATGCAGCCTGGACATAGAGTTGTGGCCGGGCTGCCACTACTGCGTTGCAGCATTGGTGCAGGTCCATCTACTGTAGACAGAACGAAGCACACCTGCAGTAATCTGATCAGTATAAGAACATGACCACGAGCTTTTTCTCACTGTTGTCTCACCGTAACATGGCTTTGAGGCTACACTTGCTACGCGAAGCCTTGACTTCAGAGACGACAGCAGCTTGGGCCGATCAAGACGACCTGCAGAACTTCTCACAATTCTCGGCCCCATGTTGGAATCCAACCATATGCTCGGGCATGCTTGTTCGTTGTCGAGAAGGTTTTTTTGAAACATGTTTTCATCAGTGGCAGCATTGGTTCCTCATTCGGCCGTTGTTTTCGAAGACCGAACTCACCGCTGCAGAAGCACCCATCAGGCTAGATCCTCAGCAGCTCACGAACTCGTCGTAGGGGCCGCTCTTGACACAGTCGCAGGTGCGAAGCTTGCACGTGGAGTGGAACCGCATGGAGTTGGCACTGGATGACAAGATCCGGGAGTCATTGAACGAGGCGGCTTGGTATCGCCTGGCTCCAGTGTGCAGCAGATCTCCGAGTCCTTGGTTCCGAGAGTCGGGGCAGGCACATCACTGGACGGAAATCGATGAGGCCGGCAACTCGCGAGCAAGGTCCGTGTGTTGGCAAGTTGGGGGAACTTGTATACGTGGCAAGGCCGAGAAGAGTTTGTTCCACTCAAGGGCGCAGCGTTCGTTGACGATGTTCCGGGAGGAGCTGGAGTCAAGACAAGGCAGTGTGCATTGTGTGCTTGCGAGTGGGAGCATGCGACTGCACATTTGTTGTTGGCTGATTGAGAAAGCTACGAAGGAGAGGGACGGAGAGGGAGAGGCAGTCCGAGAGACAGAAGCCGCCCAAACAGGATGGCCCCTGATAAATGAAGAGCGAATGAAAGCACGAAAGGAGAAAGGCACAAGAGCGTGTGTGATGATTCGCTTTGGATGATGAGGTTGCACGGTGCAAACGAGCTAAGGGACGAGAAATAGCGCAAAATAGTGCAACACTAACGACGATTCGTAGAGGCGGAGCACACGGACACACGACTACCTTCCTGATCTGCGACTATTCTTGTGCATGAGACTTGCATAAGAGTGGACGGCGACAGACATGCATTCAACTGCTGCGTCGGGCGACGGCTGCCGGACTTCTGCACCTCCCAGGGCCTATAATATACTATAATATACTATAATATACTAAACTATAGACTATAATATACTATAACATACTATAATATATTATACTATAGACTATAATATACTATAATATACTATAATATACTATAATATCTCTCTCAGGTGGCGACGTAAAGTTGGCCATCCAGCGGCTGCTCAGCCCAAAGGAATTTACATGTTCAGCAAACGACCTACGTAAATCTACCCATTCTCGCCGCACTAGACGACCAAAGCAGAAGCCGAACTGTTCTGCGAGTCGTGGCCAAGGATGAAGTACTTGTCGGTTTGCCATTATGCTGAGCATGTGCGACGAGAGAAGGAGGATCATCTTAAGCAGAGGCAGTCCGGCATGACAGACTGCTCAGGTTAGCGGAACATGCAGTCGCAGGGCATCCGGTGACAGCATCGCTTTGGCCCATGGACATCAATTCCTGGGTGTCTACCTTCTACGATGTTTTTCACATGGATGTCCTTGCCTCCTGGCTGATGTATCTTATGTATCCGGTTTGCACTTCTGCGTATTCTGTACTATGTACGATACAATACTCTAGTCTAGTATACTATACTAAAGTCGCCCTTACCATACCCCAAACCCTAAACCCTAAACCATACCCGAATTAATGGAATCTTCTTCCGAGGATTGTGAGCCTGTGTTCAACATCCTCGACTCTGACTACGGTGACGGCGACGGGTTCGTGCCTCTGGCGAGGCTGCAGGAGACGACGCCCCCCTTCAGGGTTATCAATGGGTTTGCAGTGTAGGGTTCAGGGCATTGGCTTCAGGGCTTTAGCTGGTCTGTGATTTGGGGCTTCAGGTAGTCTGGAGTTTCACGGGGTTTGTGTTTTTTTGTGTCCCTCCGGCCTCGGGTTTGGGATTTAGGGTTTTGGCTCTAGAGACATCGTTCAAAAAAGGGTTTTGGCTCGACTCCCCCTCCTGCAGCTACCTGTGCCGCCGGGTGGACGCCGGCCTGGAGCATCCGGAACTCAAACGAAGCAGGTCAGACGTTGAAAAGCATGTGATAGTAATAATGATTCAGGAAAGCATGAAGAGTGAACACACATAGATGACACAAGAATTGGCACAAGGGGCAAAATGCCATGAGGCTACGAACCCTAAAGACCGACGGTACAGTCGACAGCGAGCACAAGGGTGCACTCCAGGCTTTCGGCTGGGTTTAGGGTACTGGGTTTACGGTTTAGGGTTCCCCGGTTGACTCGTTCCAGGCTGCACTCGTGACAGCAGGGGCTACGAGGAGACTGGCGTGACTGGCAAGCCAGTTGCAAAAGGGTTCCCCGGTTTCCGGTTCCTTCTTCCCGTCTCCGTCTACTGCCTCACCTTGGACGCACCAAACCACTGCCCAACCGGCTGCCATGCACTGACCCTCAGTAATGCTTACGGGTGGCTCTCTAACTTAGGGCCCCTTTTTAGGAGCCCAAAAGGCGGCGCCCTTGTAAACAGACCCCCCCAACACGACACGAATTCAACGAACTGCTCGTATGATAAGGAAGTAGTCTTGTCTCAAGATTGCAGCCATGTCTAGCAGCAGGAGGTGTTGGAGGGGCTGCCCACCGATCCGCCGGAGAGTGAAGAAAGGCAAAACCGGGGTCGAAGGTTGAGGGTTTTAGCTCACAATGTGCTCATGCGGATGTTGCCGCTGCAATCTGAGGGTCTGATCGCATCATTCATATTTGCATCACTGCCGATTCTTTGCAGCTAGAAGCAAACGACAAAGCTGAGCTAAAACTGCCCTGAGTTGCTAGGTTGTGCTCATAGAAGTTTTCAGTAGTGACACAGTGGCAGTTTCTAGGCAAGCTAACCGAGTCAGCAGCGATGCCTGTTGCCCTGCGGAAACTGATGTCCCCCACCTCGGCAGTGCCTCATCTCATGTCTCGCAGCTCGAAGCACCGGCGGTCCCTCGGTCCACTCCGTTGAGATGCGCCAGAACACAGCCACCGTCAAAAAGGCAGGCTGTGTGTTCCGGCGCATCTCAACGGAGTGGACCGGATGCGCCAACGGGACGAGATCGAGCAGATCTGTTCGGTGATTGGACTTTGGCAATGAGAGACGGAGCGCCACTAACGCCTGCCTTTGAGCAACGGCCACGTGAGCCACCGACGTAGACTGGAGTTTCACTCGTTCTCAGTTGTACTTCAAGCTTGCTCTCTGTTGGATTCGGGATGTGGCAGCGGCTGATTCTGCGCTTAGAGTAAGGGGCTACTTTCCAGAGTGCGCAGAGTCAATTCGAATGCAGGGCAATGTCCTTTCGTAAAGCAGAGAAGCCTAGCTTGGCAGTTTCGCAATTGCGCTACTTGGTGTAATGGTTGCAGGTTGCAGGTCTGGACTGTGCTCTGTAGCGGGGTGAGACCTGCGGCATGTGATAGGGCTTTTTCTGACTTGGCTTTGGCACAGGGGTTTCGCTGCGTAAATGTCGTTGCAGTTTCCGTGCCATGGGGGAGGCTCCTCCCTCCTGCTCAATGCCCAGAGTTCCAAGATGAGATCGGCTCCGCCTTTGGGGCCGCTCGGGAGTTTACGCGGGTGATTGGATAGAGCTCCGGGTTGAAATGAATTCAAAAAGGCCTAGCCTACACTGCTAGGGGCTCTTTATTTTCTGAAATTCCCGTGTTTTTTGCTCCGAGAAGAGGCACGTGCGACACCTTGTGCGCAGCCTAGGCATTCTTGGACCGCACGAGCCCACTGGAAGTAATCTCCTTCAGGCACTGCACGCGATCAGGAGGGTTTTGCCTCAAAGCTGTGTGGAGCAAGTCAAGTCCCTGTATATAACATATAATTTTATATATAATATAGTATATAATATACTATATTATATAGTATATAATAAAATATATATTATAATATA